CCCCCTCCCCCCCCTTCCTTTCTGACCTTAATTTTGCAAATGACTTGCATTTTCCATGGTGAGCGTTAGTCAACCAGTGACCGGTCTACAACATGTTCCTGTGTTTTAGCCTTTGCTTTATGTGTATATGTGAACTTTTTGTTATAAACAAGTCTTCTTAAATATGTGTAACGCTTATTTTCTCCTTTTACCTTAGCAAAAAGGACGTGTATATCTGTATGTATGTACACATATGCAGGCGTGCATAGACGTACATCTATACAAATATATGGCATTTCTATATATACACATATAAATGCACCACCAACTTCCATTCTCCAGAGACCTGACTCTCGTAATTGCTTAAAAGACGCCTTCAATGGCAAGAGTCGAGTTTGGAGAAGGGAGAATAATGCAAATCGTCAAAGTAAACTTCGTTTTCAGGCAGTGTGACCGGGGGCCGAGGTGCAGGCAGAGGGGGAGGAAAGAAAACCCCATAGGCAGCCCTTCCAGATTGTGTCCGTTGCGGGAGAGCAAGGCCCCGTGTGGGAAAGACAGGGACGAAACAACAGCGTTTCCAGAGTTTTCCCGGAGAAAGTGGCACTTCCAGGAGAGGGAAGCGGGATTATTTAGCTTTCACCCCCTACTCCCAACCCTTTTCCCTTGCCCTCCTCCCACCCGAGGCTCCCTGTGCGTGCCTTTGGCATCCCTGGTCCCACTGCCCGGGCAGCCTGTGCCCGTGTCAGCCCCCAAACTTTCTTTCGGTGCAGTTTCTCAGCAAGACAGAGCCAGGGAGAGCCCGAGGATCTGCTGGGCCCGAGGAGGGGGTGCCCGGGTGTTTACACCTGCGTGTAAACACACGGTCCCCCCTCCTCCTCGCCCCCCTCTCCCGCAGCGACCGTGTGCGTTTCTTCTTTTCTATTTTACTTTTGTATTTCTTTTTCTCTATTCGTATCTAGCCCCCTCATCCTCTTCCTTTGGTTAGACTGAGATATAATTTATTGAAGGAAAGGACCAGTTTTAACTTGAGCAGCCTTGTGTTCTTCACTGGCGAATTCAATGAAGTGTTGGGGGGGGGGGGAAATAAATAAATGCCATTTTTCAATCCATCTTCCAACCCCCCCCCCTTTTGGTTAACAGTTTTAAAGTACATTTCATACCATTATCTCCATGGGAAATGGTTTTTAAAAATGAAAAAAAATATATAAAAAAGGAAAAAAAAATTTAAAAAGATAAAAACCCACGGGGACCAAAAAAAAAAAAAAAAAAAGAAATAAATAAGAAAGGGGGGAAAAAAAAAAAGGCAAGACAAAAAGCTCTAAAGGGAAGCGGAGGAGCTCGGAGCAGCGCATGGATGTGCGTGTGTCTGGGTGCGTGTGTTTGTGTACTTACGCACACACACAGCTATGCATATACATTAGAGGGGACTTTTAAACTCTTGATAGTTATGAATTCATAAAGGGATCGTTTAGCCAGCACAAACGGGTGCTCTAGAGACAAAGCATTTTTCTAATCTAAAAGTTTACTTAGTGGAGTGATGGACAATTCTGGAGGAAAAAAACCAAACCAGTGAAGCATTCTCTCGCAGAACTCTCCTATAAATATTGCATTCAGTAGCTAAGGCTTTAGAGTATGTTTCTCATTGTCTTTTCAAGCGCCTGTGACATTGGGTTTTCTTTCCTTCTTTCTTTCTCTCTCCCTTTCTCTCCCTCTTTCTTTCTTCTTGGTAAGACAGATGATGATTTCTAAGAGGCACAAGCATCAGCCTTTTTCCTAGTTTTCCAACAATTGTTACAAAGATACGGGCACTAAGCTTTTCTCTTTTGTTTTTGGTTTTGTTTTGGGTGTTTGTTTTTTTTTTGGATGTGTTGAGCTGCTTGTTATTTAAAGTGTTGAGGACTAGCGCCTAGTGAAGTGAATCAGATCAGGGCAGATCCAGTGGTAAAGGGAGGAAATGAACTTTCAGACACTTATTAATATGTGCGTAAGGTCAGAAAACGGAGTCGAGAGGACGTTTGAGAAAAAAACCTCCAACTCCAAATAGGTTTACTTAAAAAAACAAACACAAAACACATTACCACGCAAACCTTACCGCTATGTATATATGTTTAATATTTGTCCTTTGAAATGCAGAAATAGTTTCAATGTTTTCTTTGTCTATTTTTTCTTTTGTTTTTATTTTTTTTTTTCCTTTTTTAAACGCTACCCAGGGAAATATTTTCATATCATTTTTAAGTGGCCTGCCTCAATGTATATTTATTTCTTTTAAAGCAAACAGGTTCTGGAAACTGTTTTTCTGTAGCTTTAAATGAGTAGGTGAACAAAATCTATATGGGATGTAATTTTTTTTTAATTAATTTTTTTTTTTTTTGGGGGGGGTTCAGTCTCTTTAAAAATATTTTGTTTTGGTACATTTGGATGTGCTTGTGGGGAAAAAAAAATAAAAACGCAGAGATCCTTATATATTTATGTTAAAGTAATATTTTATTATCTACATAAAACAGAAATGCACAATACCTTCATAGTTTGTTCTAATTATTGAAATCTCTTTATTTTATTTTTAAAGATAGCACAGATTTGCATAGTTCTTAAGATTTGGAGGGAGAACACCCCAGGACTTATACTGAGTTGAGTTCTGTGTGTAAAAGCACCGCCATTCCTTTCTATTTCATGGAATTTTTGGAATAAATTTGATGCCTATACCGAGAGGTTCCACGCTCATAACTTCCAGGGTCTTGAAGGAGAACCTCAGGAGCTTGTGTTCATTGTGTGTCCCCGCAGAGGAACCGCAGGGGTGTGTTTGGAAGCGTTGGTTGCTGCGCGGGTAGGGATGGTCCTGCCTCGGATGCTGCTGGGGAGATCTGCTCCTCAACTTAAGTTGCGTGTTCTGGCGGAAGACGGGGAGGAGAAGAGACTTCTCCTCGTTGCCTTTTGATCATTTCAGGTCTGAGTCCTTAAAAAAAAGAAAGAAAGAAAAAAGAAAACCAAACCAAACCAAAAAAAAAAAAAAAAAAAAAAAAAGGCGGAGCTTAATTATGGGGAGTAGTGTTAAAAATAAGGAGGAAGGATGCGGTTGCCCAGCGGGGCTGTGCACACCCGGGCCGGGTTCCCAGCCGGTGGGGCCTGGGTTTTCACCTTCGTCGTCTGCGGCTCCGCGTGTGTCACCGCACGGTCGGTTTTACCCCGCGGGGTCCCGGCGGGGGGACCAGCGGGGCTGGCGGGAGGCATCGAACTGTGTTGGCACATTGCGGAGGTGTGTTCAAGTCCTTTTTTTTTTTTTGGCTGCTTGGATCCTAAGTGCAATATCGTGCTCTTCTTCCTCCCTCCTCTCCTCCTTCACGATAGTTTCTAGGCTTATTAGATTTAATCATCTTTTCTAACTCCTAGTCAATATTACACTCATCCCGAACAGATTCAGTTAAATGATCTTATCAATAGTTTCGAAGGGAAGTGACAGAAAGAAGAAGTGTTTTGTGACCGCAGACGTGCTGACGGGTAAAATGTTGAAGCCGGGTATGGATTTAAAATTCCTTGGTCAATAGCCCGTGAGGAACCGGCTGCGGAAAGCGAGCAGCCTCTGCCCTCTGCAGGACACTCGGGTGGGCGCCGAGGGGACGTGTCGCCTTCGACGACAGGGCCCTGCTATCGGCGAGCGCTTCCCGGGGCGGGTGGACAGGAGGTGACTGGGATGGATGATGTCCCGCTCGGAGGGGCAGCGGGGATGGCACCGGAGCCGGTACCGGGATGCGCTGCTGGCAGAGCGGCCGCTCGTTGTGGAAAGGCCCTGGGGCTGCTCCCCGGGGGGCTCTTTGCCCCCCCGAGAGGCTGCCCAGATGGCAGAGGCTTCTACCCGGCTGGTTGCGGGAAGGCCGGCCGGCTAAGGAGTCCTTTTCCCTGTTTTCTTCTCTCTTTTAAGAGAAAGAAGAGGGGGAAACGGAGCAGTCCTAGGATGCACCTTCTGCAGGTGGATGGCAGGGTGCGCGGCAGCTCCCTGGGCTCCCCCACCCTCGTTCCCAGCAGGGACTCTCTGTCGTAGACCAGATGTCAATAACAAAAGCCCCGTTTCCTCGGCTCGCTCCCTCTGATGGAGGCCGAAACTGGAAGGCGTGAGGGGAGACGGTGCATCTGGGAGTCCTTGAGTCGTTGCCTCCCCCCCAGGTGATGGTCTCGGCCCGGACAACTTGGGAGACCCTCGACGG